ATCAAATATGATATAATCCCAAATAATATTCAGGGAGGAGTTGGACAATATTGGCCAACTCCTTGGGAACCTCCCCCATAAAGGCTCAACATGATGAATAATAAATACGGATGCCAAAATATGTTTAAATAAACGGACGATAGCTGAGGGTATACATCTGTCGACAAAACCGACTGATACTTTTTCATTTGTTTTATTTTCTTTTTGTAAAATATTGATTTGATAGAATCAGATTCCCACGATAATATTTTAACCCTCAAAGTTCTACAAAAAAAAAATTATAAAAATTTGAATTCCTTTTATGAAAGTGGGTTTTGGAACCCTCGAAAAAATTCTATTAATCTCACCCAAACGGTGGAAAAAATAGACATTTAGTCGAATATTATTAGGCCAGGGAGGCTTACAGATAATATGCTATTGAGTTTTGAAAAAGAATAATTTCTTTAAATTAGATAAGTCACATAGGTCTACAAAAAAAAAAAAAAAAAAAAAAATCTCCAAAAAATTTGGGAGGCTATGATTTTTTTTTAAATTTTGTAGGTTGCGGAGACTCATGGAAATGTTTCAATAATATTTTGCAGGCAGTCGAAAGTATTTTACATTTTTTTTAAATTGAACCCAATATCTTTAAAAAACATTTTTATAAAAAGTGCCCAGAAATATGTACAGGACTCCGACCTGAAAAACAATCCTCAAATTTCCCATCAAAACTGTGGAACCAGTTCAAGAGAACTAATAATCGGTCTCTAAACATTGCTCAATTAATTGAAACCACCGCTTTAATTAAAAATGACATATTTGAAACCCATATCAAATTCCCACTGCCGGTATTGACACTAACCCAATTATGGCCCGCACTTTCATGGCTAAGCTTTCAATTTAATTACGTATACATTAATTTATTTACATTTCACCTAACTACCTTTTCTTCAAATTGGGTGGGCGATGAAGTCATTAGAAAAGGCAGGCACAACCAGAGAGGAACGCCCTCCTACAGTGTAATCCATGGAAGAAGAACAACAGCAACAAAGAATACGTTGCCCTCCCTATTTAAAGCTTTGAAATGTTGACATGGTTACAAGCTGCTTGTTTAAAAGAATTACGCATCACGTGTCAACGAGGGGTTTTAGGTGCGTGCAACCTTATACACACATATATATATATATATATAACAAATATTCTAGGAGAACCTGAGTAACAACAAAGTAGTAGCTCGAGGAAGGCACACAGCGTGATTAGATTGTTTGTTCCATTGCCTCGTCTGGTGTTGACATATTATGGCAAATTACACGTCTTAGAGATAAGCTTTCGAAAAAACACTCCCGGTTATCTCGATTCGGGTTTGCAGAGGTGATGGGGTGGCATTTCGCCCACAAGATCATTAAATAAAAATAATCATCACCAGTTCTTCTTGTTTCTGTGGAAGATTTCAGGGATTCGCCGGCGTAGGAGATAAGACATTATCTGAGACGGCGGCCAAAACAAAACAACAGCAGTTTTGAAAAAAGCATTTGAGAAACTTAAAAATAACAAATTTTTTTTAAATATCTCCTGCAGAATCTTAAAAATAAACAAAATACTAAAAAAATGACAAACAACCATGTCTGTCTGAATGAAATCGGATGTTAATTTCGTTATTTATGAGCTTCATGGAATTTCAAATTTTTACCCTTTGTGGGGGAGGTATAATTAAAAGTGGACCGATATATCCCATCTTCACAGCTGGCCTATCAAAAATTATGGAACTTTTTTCATTGGCCCCCAAATCTTTACAGAGAAAATTTATTGGTTGTCACGGTCTATAAACACTTTTTTATAGGGCCATTTTTCGTGGGTCTCGGGAGAACACAATTTCCTTCAAAGTTATTAAAATTTCGAAAAAAAATTTCGCATTGATATTTTCGATCCATTGAATGTTAATGAGAAATAATCGAGGCCTTTATTAATTTTTTTATAAAAAATTTTCTTGGAATTCCACGGCGTAAACCATTTAAAAAAAGTTCAAAAATTTATTGAAATTTCACATTTATTTTAAATTAATTTTTGTGAATTATTACATTTTGCATTTTGACCTAACCCAACCGTATCTGACCAATCTAAAGCAGCCACTTTAGCCATTGATATTCCCCACAAGTGACGTATAAGTATTGTACATATTGTTGTTGTTGCTGGAAGTGATGTCTCTTGCCGATGAGAACAGCATTTTAAGCAGATATCCATTTTGTTTGCATTTGAGAAGGCAGGCAGACGGACAGACCTCCCTTTTGGCATGCGGGGTTACTGTAGGTCAATTTTAGTTTGCCATAATCCGCTTAGTTCTTGGTTGGCGCTTAAACATGTGTTTTTGTTATTTAAATTGTGCATGGGTGTGACAGTACATTGTACGTCATGACACTTGAACGTTTTGGCCATTCTTAAGTGGTTCCTCTACTTTTAGAGACATTTTACATACATGTTCGCAAAATAACGAATATGTTGTTCTTTTGTTATACCCTCAGCCAAATGTGTCTCATCGAAATAATGGTTTTAGACCCTAGGTCTCTTTGCACCAAATCCGTTTCAGGATATTTGGAGTCGGACTAGCGATGTCAGTCCGTCCGTCTTTCTGCCTGCCGGGGGAGTATCCGATTTGTTCTAAACTTGGCACATCGTAATATTATTATCGAACTTAGGTCGAGTTCGGAGATGGGCAATCTCGTATTTCTAGCACATCCCCCACAAAAGGTCGAAATTTTCAAAAAAAAAATATTTTCCTGCACAAAAAGAGAAAGGATAATCCAATTTTGCCCCAACTTTGCAAAGCCTAATATTTGCCTGTGTGCTATTTAATCTTGAAGGACCACAAAATGTTATTGCCTAGGAAGTGTTAAACTCTTCGAACCATCCATATTCATAAAGGAGTAGTGAAATATGTGACTGAATGAGAATCAGAAAACTAGACATTTTGCAGTAGGTTTAACCTTGGTGCGCAGGCGCGGGATATAACTTGGTTCTTGGAAATTCGTACTAAGAGTGTATGAAAAGTACTAATATGTACTAAACATTAAATACTTTGTATTGCACGAACGGATTGAGCTAGAACTCTGAAATTTGAAATGAGAGTCACTGATGGAATGCAGGATAGATGTTCCAATAGGGATTTTGGGAAATTCGAACTTTAGGGCTACAAAAAGGGTTCAATTTGATACTATGTGAAAAACTTGAAATTTAGTATCAGAATCAAGGTTGGAAAGTAAGTTTGGTATATGAAGGAAGTTTTGGAAATGTGTACTAGGTCTGCGAACTGTACTAAATGGTACCATATTTACAAAATAGTTTGGTTTAGGGTGAACGGATGGAGCTGGAATTTTGAAATTTTGTTGTTGGTAGGTTTTGTGATAAAGAGATGATTTTGGTAATGTGTGTTAAGAGATAGATGAAATCCTAAAATTTGATATAGGTGTCACTGTTGGTATCTGTAATCAAGATATGGAACGGTTTTGCAAAAATTATATGAAAAGTACTAAACGGTACTAAATTTGGTATTGGGTGAGGGGATAGAGCAGGAATCCTTAAATTTGATATTGAGCTCTCTAATGGTAATTGAGACATCGACATGTTTACTATAATTGCACGAAAAGTACTAAATGGTTCTAAATTTGGTATTGGATTAAGGAATAGGACTGAAATCCTCCAATTCGATAATGAACTCTCTGTAACTATGTGGAATTAAGATATGTAGGTGGTTTTAAAAATATATACTATAATTGTGCAAAAAGTACTAAATTTGGTATTTGGTGAAGGTATAGAGATGGAATCCTCAAATTTGATAATGAGCTCTATGTGAGCATCTGGAATTAAGATATGGAGGTGGTTTTGGGAAATGTGTACCATAATTGTTCGAAAAGAACTTAGTGGTGCTAAATTGAGTATTTGGTAACTTCATATAGCTGGAATCCCGAAATTTCATATTGAGGTCTCTGTTGCTGTCTGAGATATGAAGGTGGTATTTGAAATGGATAATTGTTCGAAAAGTACTAAGTACTGAATGGTACTAAATTGGGCATTTGGTGAAGGGATAGAGCTGGAACTCCGAAATTTGATTTGGCTGTCACTTTTAGTGTCTGTAGTTGAGAGAAGCTGGTTTTGAAAATGCGTACTATAGTTGTTCGAAAAGTACTAAATGGTACTAAATTTGATAAAGAGAGAAATTACAGAGCTGGACTCCCGAAATTTGATATTGAGGTCTATTTTGGTATCTGAGGTTAGGATAGGAGGAGGTTTTGGAAATATGTGCTATAATTGTACAATAAGTACTAAATGGTACAAATTTCGTATCGTTGTTTGTGTCTAGATAGGGGTTGTTTTGGATATGCGTAATAAATGTTATCAAATTTGGTACTGGTACTGACAATGAGGTCACTGTTGGTTTCTAGGTAAAGGTATACATTTTCCTGTTATTATTTTCGAATAAGGAAACAATTGAATAATATATATTACCTTGAAAGTCTGAAAATTTTGGAACGATGACTGAAGTTTTGATTAAAAAATGTTGGTCAAACTGAAAAAAATTGTGCACTTCGAGTACTTAAAAGACCTAAAACAAACTGTTATACCGAATCTAAAATTTTAAGGTGTTCTTTTCGTTGATGAAATAGCTGGCACTTTTATTTGTTATTTTGATGATATTAGCGGAATTATTCACCAGAATTGCTTTAAATTTCGTCTTTGTATAGCTTCCATATAAAGATTTTCATTTGAGCGGAATTTTTCTGCGAATTTTTTTTTTTTTTGAAAAATTTAAATTTCCTTTCGAACGATGGAGGGCATAAAAAGTTCGGCCCGGTCGAACATAGCTGCTTTTTTACTTGTTTATTTTTATGTCTTTTAAGCCTTTTTTAAGTCTTCAAAATCCTTCATTAAATTTTCCAAAGAAAAAATTCGAAAAAAAAATACTAAAATTAATTTTCATATCCCCTATTTATTTACTAATTAATTTCCTTTCATTTCTCTCATTACAGCGAAAATTGAGGGCTGCACCTTTGATGAACCTGGTCTTTGCCAATCGTAAGCTATCCTTTTACGATACCAGCAATCCTTCAAGCGAACAACCCCGGTAAGTAATTGACGTTTTTATATCACCATTTTCCAATTACCTATAAATATTGTCTATAAAAGATATACGTATACCGACATACACCCATAAGCCACATAGGTGGCGGCTAGTTGTTATTATCACACAAAGAGAACACGAAACAATTGTTGTCCTTCATTGTTATTTGTTTAACAACAATTCTCATTCACATTGCAAACAAATATCACCGCAATAGATATCCTCTAAATACCATCAGCAGATAGTTTTGAGAGAGCATCCTCAAGAAACGTAAAGAAGGTGTGTTAGTGGTGGGAGTGTGTGTGTGAGTGATTGATTTGCACAAATGTTTTTTGTTTTTATTAATTTTTTTTTTCATCTTCTGTTTATACATTTTCTTAGCCCGACTAACACACTTTCAGATTATTTTTAGAAATTGTAAACATGCCCTCCCCCTCTTCCCCCACACAGACATGCACTTTCATATTTTGCACTTTGTTTTCAATAAATATTGTAAATTACAACAACGTGTTACACATTTTTTTGTATAGGTGTGTGTGTGTGTGTGAGAGAGCGTGTGTTTGATGTCTGGTGGTAGTACGAAATGTGTTAATAAATTTTGTGAATACACCCCAAAATGTAAATGTATTGACGTGATCACTTGTGCTCATGTAAAAGTTCAAAACAAATGCAAATGATCAAAACAAAAATGTTAATAATAACAGTGGACATTGCGATTTTAAAAACAAAAAATATTTTTTTTCACACTTCATTTATTCATTTGTAATAATAAAAAAAAAATAATAATTATTTTTAACTTGTAACGAAAATATTTACTCAAATCTATTATTGAGTCATATGAGTTAATTTCGTAAATAAGAAATTTATTTTTATTTCCTTGAAGCGAAAGGAAGAATAGGGAGAAATTTAGGTATCTGGTCGAATATTGAACATCCTACCTCTAATTTATTTAAAATAGTCAGAATCTATAGAAAGGATTTTGACTATTTTAAATAAATTAGGTCTCCAAGGATGAATAAATAGAGTAAGAATCAGAGCTGTATGGAAGATGTTTTTTAAATATTCTTAATGTTTCTTACTTCTAATTATTTGTAAAGATATAATTTTACAAAAAAAAAAAAAAAAAAAAAAAAAAAAACAGGCTTTCTGGGCCCAATTAGATTGTATAGAACATTTTCTGTGGGCCTCTTAGGTCCCCAGAACTTTGTAGAACTTTTTTCTTAGGTCTCCTCAAAATTTTGTAGAAAACGAGCAAGTGTCTGCTACTTTGTCTTCGAAAAGTCTACCTTAAATTTCGTGTCCAACTTTTTTGTACTCAAAATTCTATTATTCTCTTCGAAAAAGGGAAAACTTGAATAATATATTGAACAAAGCAACATTTTTTAATAAAAACTTCATACATCGTTCCAAAATGTTCAGATTCTCAAGGTTTTATATATTATTCAAGTTTTACTTTTTCGGAAAGAAACATTGGAAAATGTTTACCCTTTACACCAAAAAGTCTTCAGAATCTTTCATTTTGAAGTTTACCGAGGAGGATATAAGTAAAACCATTGCGCACTGGACTTACATCCAATTTTTCTGTCCAAAGCTATTTTTCAAACTTTAAAAACCAACGGTGACCTCAATATTAATATTTCAAAATTACATCCCTATCCCTTCACCCAATACCAAAATAAGTTTAGTACGCATATCCAAAACAATCTACAACTCTCTGTACTAAATATCAAGACTGATTAAAATTTAGTACCATTTAGTACTTTTTCAACAATTATAGTACACATTTTCAAAATCGTCTCCATACTCAATCAGAGACCTCAGACAGAGACCTCAATAACAAATTTCGGGATACCAGCTCTATCCTTTCACCCAGTACCAAAATTAGTACCCCTCAGTACTTTTCGCACAATTATGGTACAAATTTCCATATCTAAATTCCAAATACAAATTGATCCCTTAATATCAAATTTTAAGATTTCAGCTCTGTAATTTTCCTCTATTTAGTGCTTTTCGAAGAAATTTAGTACGCATTTCTAGAACCACCTTTATATCTTAATGACAGATACCAACATATATCTAAATATCAAATTTAAGAATTTTATCTCTATCCCTTAACCCAATACCAAATTTAGTACTTTTGGTACAATTATAGTACACATTTCCAAAACCATCTTCATATCTCAATCCTAGATATCAACAGAGACCTTCATATCAAATTTGAGGATTGCAGCTCAATCCATTCACCTAATACCAAATTTAGTACCACTTAGTACTTTTCGAACAATTATAGAACCTGTCTTCAAAACTATCTCCATATCTCAATTCCATACACCAACAAGATCTAAATACAACATTTGAGGATTCCAGACCTAACCCTTCATTCAGTACCCAAATTAGTACCATTTAGTCCCGTACAAATGTGGGGCGAATTTCTAAACCAGCGCCAAATCTCAAAAACAGATACCATCGGTAAATTTATATCAAATTTAAGAATTTTATTTCTATCTATTCGACCAATACCCAATTTAGAACCACTTAGTACTTTTCGTACAATTATAGTACACATTTCCAAAACCATCTCCATGTCTCAATTCCATTTACCAACAGAGATCTTAATATCAAATTTGAAGATTACAGACCTTACCCTTCACCCAATACCCAATTTAGTACCATTTAGTACATATCGTACAATTATAGTACAAATTTCCATATCTTAATTCCAGACAACGGAGACCTCAATATCAAATTTTAGGATTTCAGCTCTGTAATTTCTCCCATTGCCAAATTTAGTACCATTTAGTGCCTATCGAAGAAATATAATACAAACTTTGTACACACATAGGACAGGACGCATTTCCAAACTCGATTCCAAATTTCAAAAATAGATACCGCCAGTAATTTAAATATCAAATTTCGGAATTTTATTTCTATCCCTTCACCTAATACCAAATTTTGTACCTTTTGGTACTATTCGTACAATTATTGTACACATTTCCGAAACCACCCCCATATGTCCAGGCTATATATGAACAGCGACCTCAATACCAAATTTCAGATTTAAAGCACTATCTGTTTATCCAATACCAAATTGTACCAAATATGGTACTATTTAGTACTTTTCGTGCACTTGTCGTACCCATTTCCAAAAGCTCCTCTTTATCACCTACCAAAACCTACCAAAAAGGATCCCAATACCAAAATTTTAAATCTCCAGCTTTTCCGTTCTCCCAAAACGGAATTGTACCAACTTAAGTACCATTTAGTACAGTTCGTACACTTAGTACACATTTCCAAAATCCTCCTTAATATATCAAAATTACTTTTCAACCTTTATTCTGTAATCAAATTTCAAGTTTTTAGCTCTATCCGTTCACATAATACCAAATGGTACCATTTTAGCAGTTTCGTAACATTTTAGAACATTTCGTAACCTTTAAGTTCGAATTTCCAAATACCCTTTGGTACATCTATCCTGCACTCCATTAGTGATTCTCACTTCAAATTTCAGAATTCCTGGTCATTCCATTTGTCAAATACAAGGTATTCAATTTTTAGTACATTTTAGTACTTTTCGTACCCGTAGAAATTTATAAAAAAAACGAGTTTTACCACAGCAAGACTGACCCTCGTGCAAAATGTCACTTTTTACAAAATTTATTCAAAATTTTTATAATTTTGGAAAATTGGACCAAATCAAGAGTTATCGTGCGTAATAGGCAGTCAAACAAAGGGAAGGACTCCAAATGTCCTCAAACGGATTTGGTTCAAAGAGACATAGGGTCGTAAACCATTATTTCGATGAGACACTTTTTGACTGTATGAAATGATATATACCCCTGTAGCCATATGCTTGAGGGTATGAAAATGCCATTGTCCCTGGGGGACCTCCAAAAGTCATAGACAATTCTTCGTAGGCCCCCTAATCAATGGGTTAACCTTAAATCACCCTAGCTAAGTAATATTTTCTCCGGGAAGTTTTCTAAATCAATTTTTTTCCGAAAACCTTTTTTAATCAAACATAATTTTTCCCCTCATTATCCCACTGTATGTGGCAATTATGAAAGTGGTTCTTTTATAAATCCTAGACAATTCTTCGTGGGCCTCTAATCAATAAGGAAACTTCATCCCTACTGAATCCAATTTTCTCCGGAAAAAAAATATTTTTTTAAAACCTATTTTAACCTGCCATAATTTTTTCCGCCTCTTTCCCCCCACTGTATCTGGCAATTATGGACGCGTTTCTTTTTGTTTAAACAACTCAAGCGAAAACCGGCCATTAATCTTGATCTTTCGAAAAAATGTGCTAATGCAGAAACCTTTTATTAATACTATTTAACAATTTGCTATGTTTTAAACAAATCCCTGTGTGTGTACACAGACACTAATTTATCAGTTTAGACGCCCATTCGTCAATGGTTGGCCGATGTGAAGGGGGCGGAGAGCGGTGTGCAGTTTCTTATTATTTCCCCCTTTTGACTGAAGGTTTGCCAAAATCCAAACGAAGACAAGTTTTTCGGAAACTTTTAACCAAAAAAATTAAAAATAAAATCGTTTTGCTAATTGAAAATTGTTTCACACCTTTTTTCGTCGAGCGGCCCTCGGCGGCGTTCGCTCGACCCAGCCCGACCCACAGTGAATTTATTTCTTATAAATATCGGTAGATTTCGGAGCTGCCTTCTATTTTTTGTAAAAATCTGTTAACGGACGGTCATTAGTATCTCTCGTCGTTCAATTCGGGAAAATATTTGAATATGAATTCGAAATGTCTGGAAATACTTGAAATGGCCAATGATCGCGTACCGCTCAACGGCGAGAGTAGTTGCGTGGACTTGCGCGAATTTGTGCACGAGAAAATCGTCAATGAAATGCAGCTAATGTCGAGCGATGAGTTCGATGCAATTTTACAAGAAACCACTTTGGAACAGCAGAAACAAAAACAGCAACAACAGACGCAACAGTCATCAACGGAATTATCTCCCGATGAGGCGATTATCAATGAAATG